CCAGGTGCAGGGGCCAAGTCAGCCTAACACAGTTGAAGCCCATGGACGCTACGTCCGCTGAGATGAGGTTGAGCGGCCTCTTGTTGAGCCCCTCGGCCACCATGGGCTCTAGGTGGGCCGGCCAGTTGATGCAGGCCAGCTTCACCCGCTGACCGTTCGTGTCGACGATCCATCTGCCTGATGTTGAGAGGGGGAGGTCTTGGGCTGACGTGGACGCTGAGATGATGATGATGAGGAGGAGGAGGAGGAGGAGGGGAGGAGGTCTAGGATACCTACTATCCTAGACGGAATTCCGTCTAGAATGCATCCTAGACGAAATTCATTTCCATCTAGGATAGTAGGTATCCTAGACGGAATTTCCGTAATTCCGTCTAGGAATATAAATTCCGTCTAGGATTATCCGTCTAGGATGTTTCCTAGATGAAAATTCCGTCTAGGATACTGCATCCTAGACGGAATCTTACTGGACCAACATCATAAACGGAATTCCATCTAGGATAGCCTTTTAGACGAAAATTTGACTTTCCTAGACGGAATTTTCCATCTAGAATACTCCGTTTTTTACTAGTGAATAAGAGTTGGAGATATATTTTTGAAGTAACCCCCAGTAAATAATATTTCAGTGATGTTATTCATTCTTTTTTTCCTATATTATTAACACAGAAAAACAATTATTTGAATTATCAAAAAAAAACAATCACTTGAGTTAGGAAGTATATATAACATTATTCATCATTTCAATGCTAACTAGGTGAACAGTTAACTAGCTATAAAATCAAATAAAATATATGTTTACCATCTTTCTGCTCACGAAATCAAAATGGGAGTCCCACATGTGCTCGCCCGTTTCTCAACTATATATATACTAAAACTATAAAATAAAATAGGATTTTTTTGCCTATATGCCACTAAATATATAAATCTATATATTTGCTAACTTAATCTTACATTCTCCGGCCCGCATTGAATTCTTTTACCGCCCCTCATTATCTCAGACAACACCCGTCGAAATCACGGTTGCAAATCTACTCATTCGTAAATACGAGTATGTGGGAGGTCAATCTGCAAATAGGGTAATTTTGGAGAGTATATATGTAGGCAAAAATTCCTTCTTTAATCTTTAAACATTGGACTGGCATGGCGGCTTCAAACCCCCTCTATTCAAAGGTCTAATTATAGCTCGCATGTTTTAATGACCCTTTTAACATAATATTATATTATTTATGACGTACGGTCTAATTCTAGAATTCCAAATACTTCATTTTATTCCTATTATATGAACAAGACAATTTTGTCCTGATCCATAATAATCAGATTAAAATAATCTACAGAGGAGGATGCGTAACAAATTCAAGTTTTGTACCGCTACAATCCATTAACGCTTGGCGTGACCGTGTGGCAAAAAAATATTATAAAATCTTTTAAGATAAATTTTTTTCTCGTCTTTGAAGATCATATATATACAGCTGCGTAGAGTATGGGTAATTATGATTAACTATTAAAAAAACATTGTATTACGACTTATTTCTGCTGACCACATTATTTCTTGATTTCCATGTTTAACCTTTGAACAATTAATTAACTAACTACATACTACTTCCACAGTACTTACCTATACCCAAACTAATTATATTTGCATGTACACGCATTAAAACCAAGTGCTCTTGAAGTAAAAATTTAGATAATCTAATTCCTACCAAATCTTTGAATATGTAATTAATCCACTTTTTTTTTTTTGTCTCATGTACTGTGCAATCCAAAAATCATGTTATGATTCATTCCTACCATAACTAAAATCTTACCTCCCCAAGAACTGATAAATTACACGCTTTATTTTTAGAAGAAAAAAAGTTACATATTTATTAATTAATAAGAGAGAGAGAGAGAGAATTAAGTTCACCTTGAACGCTTGTATGAGGTTCAAATCCAAGATCCAAGGGTTATGCTCTCGCACGTGCGCCGCAACAGCCTAGCCGTCAAGGCCGAGCCTGTGCTGGCAAACGACTGCGAACGGTGATCGTGGCGCGCCGAGTCGATTGCCTCGACAGCCACGACCAGTGCAGGGGCCAAGTCAGCCTAACACAGTTGAAGCCCATGGACGCTACGTCCGCTGAGATGAGGTTGAGCGGCCTCTTGTTGAGCCCCTCGGCCACCATGGGCTCTAGGTGGGCCGGCCAGTTGATGCAGGCCAGCTTCACCCGCTGACCGTTCGTGTCGACGATCCATCTGCCTGATGTTGAGAGGGGGAGGTCTTGGGCTGACGTGGACGCTGAGATGATGATGAGGAGGAGGAGGAGGAGGAGGAGGGGAGGAGGAGGAGGATAAGGAAACGGCGCACGCTTCATGGCTTTTAATTAGGAGGGAGGAAGGGATGCGTAGCAAATTAATATATATAGGTGACGCACGCGCGCGGTATGATGAGCCCTTTTGTGAGTAAGAATCTTGACGCACGCATATCTAAAAGATTCGTATATATCATGTCCATTTCATGCTTGTATGCGCTCTTTCTACCCTGCGCTGACTCTTATTTCAAGTTATAAGGAAGCTAGGTTGCATTTTTTTTTTTTTTTCTCCTCTGTCAACATTCGTTATCTAAATGAAAAAGATATCTAAAAAAAGATTCGTACCGTGTCCATTTCATGGTTTCATGTTTGTATGCGCTCGCCATGGCGTAGATATCTCTTTGAACTAATCAACAAAATGTTGTTCTACTGAATGTTTGAATTTCTACGTACAAAATTAAACAACAATTTAGCATTTTTTAATTAGAATTAAGCGTAAATAAGCGCTCTTTAGATGGAAATGAAAATAACATTTATTCAGCTCGTATCCAATCTAATTAATATATTAGTTCCTAACTCTACAGATATTATTGCTTAATTCTGATCTGTACAGTTGAACGGCTTCGCAATTAAATTATTCAAAAAGTAGGAAGGTCGTTAACTGAGACCTTTAACGTGACCAGACGTAAATTTGTAAATAATTATGCTTTTAAGTCTCACGATTTCTTGCTGATATACCTTTCGGCTAGGGCTTTAGGGGGTGTTTGTTTGCATGCAAGTGAAAGATAAAAATGAGAAAGTTATTTTTATTTAACAATTAAGGTGTTTGTTTTCATATAAGTGGTTATGAAAGTGAGATGTAAGAAAGTTGCCACATAAGATTTAATACAATTTTGACTTTCCCTAAAAAAATGGTGTAGTCACATGAAAGTGACAAAAATATAACTAATTTAATTAAATAATTTTAATTATATTTTCTAATTAATCTTATTTTACCACGTCATCTTCACATTGCACTTTCGATAATAATTTAATTTTTCAAACAAACACTGTATTTCACTTGCGTGCTGACATGAATGTAAAAGTCATTTGCAAAAAAAAAGTAACTTACATATTTTAAATTCGCTTTCAGATTGCCAAACACCCCCGGACTAAGTATTTTTCGGTTATTAATCTGTAAATTGTTACAAACTGATTCGTTGAAATAGCATAGCCATCAAAATCTAAGTATTCCACCTCACTGACACTTTTGCAACCAATGCAACAAACATAGCCATTCTTATTCAAAATATGAAAGGTTGAGGACCGTCATTTTCGGGAAATAACATGCAAATGACAGCAGTATTTACAAAAGAGACGGCACACGCTTCGATTTGGGGCAAAGACCAACTGCATCCAAGCAGATGATCGATACAAGGTTTAATTGCACAGAATGAACTATTTAATATACAAGAAAAAATTAACATGAACAATTTGAAGAAATGCACAACATTGTTACAAAGCTAATTAACATAAAATTTTTCACTCCATGCACAAATACTCTTTCCAGCTGATCAATAAAGCCTTATTCGGGTCACAATTTCACTTCGGCAAATGGGGCAGGACTGAAGGCTTGGTCCGCACTCATAGCATGTCTGCATCCATGGAAGAAAAACTTGAGAGCATGTGCAGGAAAATAAATGTATAAAACAATACATAATAATATGAATATTGCAAATTGAAAAGATTTTCCAGTACAAATACTTCACCTGGTGCCCACATCCAAAGGCCATGTTCTTTGGGTTTGTAAGGCATATTGGACAAACCTGCTGAATAATATACCAAGACAGTATTAACCAATTACCACATAATTAAAATGCTTTTGATGCAATGTTATTGTTTGCAGGACGAAAATTATAAGATTAAATTACAAAAAAAAAAAGTCACATAATTGATGGAGAATCTTCTTACCCCCCTCCCAATCTTTTAATGTCTACATAATTAACTTGGATGTAGAAGATAATAGCATAGGATATGACAATTATATACACTCTACAAACATTTACATCTACTGAAAATTGACGATTACATCAAAAATTATTGATTATTTGACTAGAAACTGAAATTTAGGTGGTAAAAGTCGCTTTGCAGGATTTTCTGTCCATCTGCAAACTTTTAGGGCAACTTTCTGTAATTTAACCAAATAGTAATGCAACTTAATAAGAAATTGTACTTGATCATCCGATGAAGTGGCAGCCCGTGAAGCTGTGCGTTGTGAAGATGCATGTTCAGGATAAAGTGTAGTGCTCTGTTGGGGGTAACCAGCTGATGATCCAAACAATTTAGAGCTCATGGAAGGGGCACCATAACTTCCAAAAGGCGGAGGGAGTGGAACCCTCTCTGGAGATGCTGCACTTCTGCGACTGTTTTAAGCAAAATTACCAACACATGCTATGAATAAAAAATACGTTTAAGCAAAAGCTAAAAGATGAGGAAGATTGATACCCTAAAATCCCCAGCTCTAAAGTTGCTTTGTATTGCGGAGGTATTTCCATTAGTGCAGCAAGAGCAAACTCAGTTTCCTTCCTGGTCTGTGGAACATTCTTCGACATGATCTCCGTAAAATTTACAAACTGGGAAACAAAATTACTACCAAATAAGAGGAAAAGATAATGTGTGAGAAAAGCTCCCTTTATAAGAGAGATTCAAAATATACCTGGAAATTGTCAAAGGCTCTTGTGGGTATGTTGTCATCAAATTCCCTCATCATGTCCCATGGACCATCCCCAACCCCTACTAAAATAATTGATAAAGGAAATTCACTGGAAAAAAACAGAGAAAATATATCAGTAGGTAAACTCCACAAACATGTCTGATTTTTTTTTTCAACATGCTACATACAAGTAGAATTATTTCAGACCCTTTCTTATTTTCATATTCACATGGCTAGTACTTTGAGTGTTATAGATCATACTTACCTAGCTTTTACAATAGCATCAACAGTCTTTTGTTCTTGGGAGCTAAGCTGACCTGATTCTGTATCTACACTCCTTGTAACCTGCACAAGCTCAAATTTGTCTCATTAAAGAAGTCCAAATTTGTATTTCAAAGGACAAAACTGACAAAAATAATACGCAAATAGCTTAAGACATGTACCATATATCTATAATGAATATTTTTCTCAAGAAGATATGACATATATTACTGAAAAGAAGGTAAAAAGTATACAATACAAAGCAAGGTGATATTTCTTGAACCCATTATTAGAAATGCACAAGGATTAAGGAGTTATATAATGATGCAAGCGGAGAGACAATACAGTTACTTCTTTTGTGCTTATTGCAGCCATTTTATTTTGAGTCAATGAAGAATTTTAATTTGTAAGGAACAAGATCTGGTAAGTTCAATACAACAGCGGACACTGTAAGTCCACCGTATTGTTCTGTAATTTGAGTTGAGTCATCAACAGGATTTGTGTTAGCCAATGGATTTGTACTGCAACTTAATGTTCATATTACATGCCTTTCAAATTTAGCAGATAAAAGACATGATAACTCAGCAGCTATTCTGAATAGAACAAGATTTTCCTTAACACGAAACAGAGTTCAACCGAGAACGTAGCGATTGCCAAAATTAAACGTGCCTCTTTAGCTTGTTGTGTGTATCATATTTGGCAGGCTAGAAATGAATTCATCTTCATAAAAAAGATCCCAGTTCTTGATGATATCTAAGAAAAATCAGGTTTTTCATCAAAGTCCAGCTTAGTGATGTCAAAAAGGTAGCTGATAATGTGAAGAGTAGAGAATTCTGCATAGCCTTATTCATATGCCCAGATATCGTTCAATTAAAACAACGATGAGCCTCAAGTTTGTCATATAAGTTTGGCCTTTTTTTCCTTTCCTTTTAAGCCTGAGTTTGGTTACTGTTGAGCAGAGTCTATGAGGGGTTTGTATAGGTTGTGACTATCAGACATGTTTGTGCGCATGTTTCTGATATCTTTTTGTTGGCTTTTGAGTTGTGTAACTGGAGTCTATACTAATAGTTCATTTTTGGTAATAAAAACTTACATTTCTTGCCAAGAAAAAATCAGAGTTCGACAAGAAAAGAACTCTAGAATAAGAAAAGCATACCTGCCCATCAGCTATTATCAACAGAACATGGTACTGCCCTCCGCTTTGTTCTACAATAGTCATAGCCATCTCAATAATTGGAGCGAATGATGTAGGCCCTAAACAGAAACAAAGAGTTATGAATCTATAATCGAATATAATCAGATGATAAAATAGCACGTGCCAGTAATAAAGCTGTATATACAGTAAAAGACCTACCAGCCAATCGTAACTGTGGAACAATTTCTCTGTATCTTGTTAAAGCCTCAGGGAACCCATTACATGGTCTCTCATCCGGGAAGAAACTAAAGACATCTTGGTCATGTGTACTTGCTGCCATGTAAACATGAGCATCTCATCTAACAAGAGCATGATTGATATTATACTGAAAATTATGAGTATAACATTACCATCACCGAAACCAAAACAAGGGATCAGGTTATCTTCATCAAATGCGGATAATGTTCTCCCAATGATTGAGATTGCTTGTTCGTAGGGATTTTGAACATTGCCAATGTAGTGCAGGCTTCGATGGTTGAAAGAACGTTTACCTGCTTATCTACAGAAGTTAGCATAAATCACAGCTATATGAGTTGATATATATAAGGAGGGATCTGTAGGGATAAAATATGTAACCTGTCCACTCATTGCTCTTAGTGAAGTCAATACCAACAATAAGATTTGAGGACTCCAGACCAGCTTGTGCAAGGGCCTCTGTGACCTACACAGACAAGAAGTAAGAAAACTGAAATTATAATGGAATTATGATTAGTAAAGCAGCAGTTAAGGCTAGTCAGTATCGACCATGAAGTGGAAACACTGCTCTTCTACATTCTACCAAGCTACAGAAAAATTAACCAGATGTTCTGCACTATTAGGAAAGTAGGCAAAAGGAAACACACGTGGACTTAGAAAGCAATCGATTGTTCTCGACTTGATTTGGATTCTTAAAGGGATATTAGATTAAAAAAACTGAAAAGAACCAGTCAAGAAGATGAAAACTGCTATATTAACACCTATTGTATCTACCTAAATGAAGAACACTGCTTCCTTTGAAAAGACAAACAGGGTTAAAGATAACTGTTGGCTCGAAAACATTGTTTTCTTAACATAACAGAGTAGAAGATATATATGGTATGCCTATGGAAGACAACTTGACCATGATACTAATATCATGTTAGAAGTTGGAAACATTCGAAATGTATACCCAATAAAATATTCTTTGTGAATAAAAAAGAATTGTGTCTTTCTTTCATTTACACTTTTACGAAATCGCTATTAAGAACTCTTGAATTTTGTTAGTGTTAAGGAAACGCCATTATATGACAGTGGTGTTAAACCCAACCAAAATGAATATCCAGGTGAAAGGAGCTCGAATTGGCATAAAATAGAGTGGAATACACAAATACCCAAGATGAGGTGATTGTTTCAAAGAAGAGGGGTAGAAGATGTGCAAGGCAGATGATCTGTTCAATGGATAGTGTTGTTGCTGGTTGTGAAAAGAAGCCAAAAGAGGAGGAAGACGAGGTAATCGTGGTGTATTAACCCTTTAACAAAATACTAAACTAATATACAATTATTAGTATGCCAAAGTAGAACAGATGATATGCAAGGAGGATGTAGGGGAAAAAAAGAGCTACTGGAGGTGATGCTACAACGGCCACCATTGCTAGTACACGTTAAGGCAGCAGGTATTTACTATTTATATGACAGACATCCAAAAAACAATTTAGTGCGCATAAGCACATATACACACATATACATGGACATGTATGTATATTAATTAATGAAACACATATTTTAGCCATATACAGTTGTGTCCTTGTACCTGAGATTCCAAAAATTCCCATGTTTGTCTCAGACAGAAATCAAAGATGTGTTCTTTCCTGCTCTTAAATTTTGGCATATTTATGTTGCCCTTATCCTCCTCTTAATACTAATTACCTATCCAACATGACAATTCAGCTTCAAGCTCTTATTTCAACCATAAATCCAGATTTTCAGGCCGTTCTTTCTCGTAACACTAACCTCAATCTTCTATACATCTCTAGTTTCAAATGATGAAATTACTAGAGTCACCAGACATTCTTACCCCCATAGTAACTTAAAACTTGTTCCATTTTGCCAACTTCAGTATGGTACTATTTGACAGCACACTTTCATTCAAACATTTTCTTCACCCTTATTCCAATTCATCTCTGTATCAAAATTTTCTTGCATGATCACTGATAAGTAATTGTCACATTTACTAGTTTCATCCATCTTCTCCTCTTATTCATAACATGATTATCCTTTCTTCTGAAAGAAGACTTGCTACCCTTCAAAGAAATAAAGCTAGATAAGTATACTGTATGCCTTAAGCCCTAAGCATAGGGATGTGGAAATTGTAAAATCAGTTGGAGGCAAGTACAGGAGTGCCCACAAGTCAGAACTCTGCAGCCATTTGTATAACCATTATTGACCAACACAACCAAGGATTTCCACCATCATATACGCCATATACTATAAAACATTACTACCACCCGTATATAGTTCAAATTCTTGAAGCACTGTAGCATATGGGTTATTGTTGCGCCGCCATCATAATGAACAGTAAACGATTTCGAGGGCTAAAGATAGAAACATTTGACCACCAATGCTAAATGCTACATAGGTCATACCAAGACAGGGTCACCTTATTAATAACCTCTTTCAATTGCACTAACAAAAAATAATAGAAGGAACGATCCCTTACCTCTAACGAAATTATAGGAAGTGCGCATGTATGGTGGGGTTATGTAGTTAAATGCATTGTCTTAGTGACATCAAAATGCTAGCCAAAAGATGAAGCAAGTTTTACATGCTCACTACCTAGCTCATGCTTGCGTCAAGTCACTATCTCAAAGGTACTTGATTTATGGTCATCTCAGAAAGCTGTTCTGAGAGTTGGCACACTCTAGGCACACGTAATTGTGAAGTAACCAATGTGAATGCATATCACCAGGCACTACCCTTGGATCCTCAGCAACTTGGAATCAAGAAATCAATACGAAACAAATTAATGTATGGGGCTGAAGAAATTGAACAAAAATCACAAGTGCTTTTCCTCCCTTAGGTTGCCACCAAAGGAAGGTTCACTAATTTTGAGGAACGGTGAGAAGAGCATATGGTTTTTTTTCCTCGTATCCCACATCAGAAGGAAAGCATCGAAGCATATCTTGTGTTTAGTCATTGACCAGAATGGTGGTCTCATATGCATAGCATTGGTTTCATCAGGGACAGGAGCATATGGTTTGTATGTCAAGGGCGTTGATTCCTTTATATCTTTATTCATTCTATCTTTTTAGATTTTCCTAATTTATGAACTAATTAGACTTTGGCTCAAAAGTTCAATTGGGATAGTCGGTCATTAGTTTGGTAGTCAACAGGGTTTAACAGGTTTTTTCAAGCAGACATGTCTTTCCTCCTAGCCATCTTTGTTAACTTTAGTACTTATAATAAAGGGTGATTCCTGTAACTAATTTTGAAATCTAAAATTTTTAAAGTAGAAGTCAAATAGGTGTACAGAAAATTTTTAAAGTAGAAATAAAATAGGTGTACAGAAAATTTTTAAAGGAGAAGTTCTTTGAGATGGCTAATGTGCCCGAAGCAAACCAGGTGAAGTTTGTAGCCTATCGTCTCAAAGGAGGAGTCGCGGCATGGTGGGATCAGACTCAAAACACTAGCGACGGCAAGGCAAGCAACCAGTTCGGGTTTGACAACGCATGAAGCAGTTACTCCAAGCTAGATTCCTACTGCCCGACTACCAACAAATTCTCTACAAACAGTTCGAACAATGCCGTCAAGGAATCAGATCAGTAAGCACTTATACCGAAGAATTCTTCCGTTTTACTTCTCGTTACGATTTGTCTATGAGCGAGGAATAACTCACGGCCAAATATATCGGAGGTTTGAAGTATTCAATTCAAGAGAATGTGGTCATCTACAACGTGTACTCTGTGGACGAAGCCCATAACATGGTTCTCAAGACGAAAAGATTGGCCTCCAAGACACCACATTTTAGGCGAACCGATCAGGAAAGTTCGACCGAGAAGGCAAGAGGTGAGTCAGTAGGGCCAATGACGACTGATCGATCAAATCCTCCACGATCAGCCGAACGATCGACAAATCAACCACCGCCTCAGACGACTCAATCAAATCAGTATGTCAAGCCGACCGTAGGGAAGTGTTTCCGATGTCTCCAGCCAAGGCATAAGTCCAACGAGTGCCCATAGCGGAAGAAGGTCAATCTAGCGGATTATGAAGAGGCAAAAGACGGACACACAGCATCTGACGAAGAGTATGAGGAAGAGGTTGCCAAGATTGAGGGCGATAATGTGTCATGTGTTGTTCAACGACTCTTGTGTACCCAGAAGACTCCAGATTCATCACAACGGCATCAAATCTTCTTTTCTAGATGTTTAGTCAACAACAATGTGTGCACCCTCATTATTGATAACGAAAACTGTGAGAATATTGTGTCAAAGATCTTGGTAGAACATTTGAGACTACCAACAGAAATAAAACCCGTACCCTATACCATAGGATGGATCAAGAAGGACTCCTCTGTTAAGGTGACTGAATTATGTCATGTGCCACTATCACTAGGGAAGACGTATCATGACTATGTTACTTGTGATATTGTGGACATGGATGCATACCATGTATTGTTAGGACGACCGTGGCAATATGACGTCGATGCTAAGCATGATGGCAAGAAGAATGAATATTCTTTCGTATGGAATAATAAGAAAATCATCCTACCACCTATTCCACCCTCTCCAAAGCACCCCAAAGATCAAAAGTCCAAACAAACATCTCTTTGCAACAAGAGAGAGTTCCTGGTCAAGTCAAAGGAGTTGAAACAGAGGTTTGCTTTAGTTGTGAAGGAAGAAGTAAAGACACCTATTGAGGTCCCAAAAAAGATGAAATCGTTGTTTAAAGAGTTCGAAGTGTTGATTACTGAAAAGCTACCAGCGGGTCTTCCACCTATTAGGAATATTCAGCACCATATTATTTTCATCCGGGGTTCAATGCTTTCTAATCTCCCTCATTATCGCATAAACCCGTAGGAGAAGAAGATCCTACAGGATACCATTGAGGACCTCATTAAGAAGGGCCACGTTCGAGAGAGTAAGAGTCCATGCGCAGTTCCAATACTGTTGACACCAAAGAAGGATGGAAGTTGACGGATGTGCGTAGACAGTCGAGCCATTAACAAGATTACAATCCGCTACAGGTTCCCAATCCCACGGCTGGATGACATGTTGGATCAGCTGGGAAACGTGGGCGTCTTTTTGAAGGTCGAGAGGAGTGGCTATCATCAGATCCGAATCCGACCCGACGACGAGTGGAAGACTGCATTTAAGAATAGTGAGGGCCTCTACGAATGGTTGGTGATGCCTTTTGGGTTGTCGAACGCTCCAAGCACATTTATGCGTTTGATGAACCAAATTCTGAAGTATTTCTTGAAAGGTTTGTAGTCATCTACTTTGATGATATTCTTATCTATAGCCAAGATGAACAGTAGCATATGTTGCATCTCCGAGAAGTCTTCCAAGTGCTAAAGGAGAATGAACTTTAAATCAACCTTAAGAAATGTGTGTTCTTGACGACTCAACTTGTGTTCTTAGGATTCGTGGTGAGCTCGCAGGGAATCCAAGTCGACGAAGATAAGGTCAAAGCAATCAAGGATTGGCCGACTCCGAAAAGTGTTACTGAAATAAGGAGCTTTTATGGGTTAGCATCTTTTTATCGGCGTTTCATTCGTAACTTCAGTTCTATAGTTGCTCTCATGACGGATTGCTTGAAGAAGAAGGGTGTTTTCGAGTGAACCAATGAAGCAAATGCAGCTTTTGCCTTTATCAAGGAGAAGATTACTACTGCACCTATATTGGTGTTTCCAGATTTCAACAAGCTCTTTGAGCTTGAGTGCGACGCGTGTGGTGTAGGTATTGGAGCAGTCCTCTCTCAAGAGAAGCGCCCCATTGCTTTCTTGAGCGAGAAGTTGAATGAAGTTCGGCAGAAATAGAGTACTTATGAGCAGGAATTATATGTTGTTTATCGTTCTTTGAAGACTTGTGAAAGTTACCTCATTGCTAACGACTTCGTGATTTACTCCGATCATCAGTCTCTTCAACACTTCAAGAATCAAAAGCATATCAACAAAATGCATAGACGTTGGGCTTCGTATTTTGAACAGTTTAATTTTACATTGTAACATAAATCAGGAGTAGACAATAAGGTACCCAATGCTTTGAGTCGGCGGGTATCCTTATTGAGCGTATTGCAAGGTAAAGTTATTGCTTTTGATTGTTTAAAAGAGCTTTATGTTGATGATGAAGACTTTCAGGAAATTTGGGCAAAGTGTTCGACAAGACAACCCACAGAAGACTTCGTTATTATGAACAGTTTCTGTTTAAAGGAAATCGACTTTGTATTCCCATTACGTCATTGAGGGAAAAGATAGTTTGGGACTTACATGATGACGGGCTTGGTGAACACTTTGGGCGAGACAAGACTGTTTTGAGTCTTGAGGAGAGATACTATTGTCGAGTTTAAGTAAGGTGTGGCGATCCTTGTGAGGAGTTGTCAAGTGTATCAAGTTGCAAAAGGACAAGTGCAGAATACTGGTTTGTATACTTCTCTACCTATGCCCAAGGATATCTGGAAAGATTTGAGTATGGACTTGACGCAGCGCGGAAGTTGTAACCTCGGAATCCACCAAGGGTGTTCTCTGAATCCACAAAGAACGATCTTCGAATCCACGAAGAGCTTCGAATCCACGAAGAAATATTGAGGAAAAACGAAATTTTATTAATCAAAAGTTATGCCTCTAGGGCTTACAAGACTCTTCTTAAATAGAAAAAGAAACAAGACTCCTACAAGGACTCTAATTCCTACAATGACTCTCAACTTACCAAAAATGGTAAAGAATTCCTAAAACATTAAAACTCCTAAAAAGACTCCTTATGAATAGGAAAGTCCACCGGTCAAATCTGAGATCAAATCGGATTTGTTTCCTAAACAAAACAGACTCCTAAATTATTACTAAAAACAGTAAAAACGGACAAAATTGTAATTATCTCTCAAACCGTAAGGAATTTGGCGAATCTGAGAACGCAAACCAAACCCGATGGGGTTGGTTTGGATGGCTCCGTCTCGTCGAGATAGTCGATTTTCATATATAATTCGTCCAATTCCGACATACGGGTCGATTTTCATATATAATTCGTCCAATTCCGACATACGGTTTGAAAGTTACGGCCGTTTCTTCGAAACATGTTATTTTCTTCGACCAGGCCCGCATTTGGGCTTGCGACTGTCCCACTTTGACAAAAACATGTCTGCTGTGTGTTCTACATCAGGACTTTGTGTTGGGACTTCCCCGAACACAAAGAAGCGCGGATTCAGTCTTCGTGATAGTGGATCGTTTTTCTAAGATGGCTCACTTCATCCCGTGCCGTAAGACTTCGGATGCACCACATGTTACACGACTATTCTTCCAAGAAGTGGTTTGGCCATGGTGTTCCTAGTTTGATTGTTTCGGATAGTGATACTATGTTCTTGGCGACTTTTTGGACTACTTTATGGCGACGATTTGACACTTCATTAAAGTATTCTAGCACAGTACGCCCTCAAACGGATGGACAAACAAAAGTGGTCAATCGGACCTTAGAAAACTTGATTCGATGCATATGTGAAGAGAAGTCAAAGGTGTATGATCAAGCTATACCTCAAGCTGAATTCGCCTACAACTTGAATGTTCATAGTTCCACAGGTATGTCTTCTTTTTTCATTGTTCATAGGAAGACACCTCGACATCTTCTGGATTTGTTAAAGTTGCTGACAAGTAGTAAGTTCAGCGAGGCAGCAAGTTCAATGGTCGAGAATGCTATCAATATTCAGGAAGAAGTGCATACAAAAATTAAGAAAGCCAATGCAAAGTTGAAGGCGCGGGTGGACAAGAAGAGGCGACTCAAGGTGTTCAATGAAGGAGACATGGTGATGGTTTACTTACGAAAGGAACGGGTACCGGCGGGAACATACAACAAGCTTAAGCCAAAAAGATATGGATCGTTCAAAATTCTCAAAAAAATCAATGACAATGCATATGTTGTGGATCTTCCAAAAGGAATGGTTATGTCTAAGACATTCAACGTGACGGATATTTCTGACTATCATCCTTCAATCGAGTTGTATTCAAGTGATGTGAACTAAGAGACGAGTTCTTTCAAAAGAGGGACTGATACAGAAGATCTACACGACCGAGACGACATCAGCGGACGACGACTCGACATCTCAACTTGAGTCGAGTCGACAGTCGAGATGACTAAACAGTCGACAAGACGAGACCCCAGCCGAGACCCCAGTCACGACCCTAGCCGAGACCTCAGTCGATAGGACGATACGACACACCTCAGTTGACACGAATGGTAGTGTTAGTCGATACATGTCAATCGACACATGTTAGTCGACACATGTCAGTCGATACATGTCAATCGGCACATGTTAGTCAACTCATGTCCAGTCGACACGAAAGACGGTACTACTCGGCACGCCTCGTGTCGACTTGGCAAACAGATTAGGAAAGAAGTTTATTTTTCGTTATTTCCTTTTAGGATTAGGGTTTTTTTTATTAGAGTTAGGATAGGATTAGTTGGCTATAAATATTAGTTCCTTTTGAAAATCAATTATTAACTTTTTAATTATTCAAATCAAGAGAATTTTTCTCCTTGTTCCTTTCCAAAGTTTAGAAAATTAGGGCTTGAGGATTCAAACTTGTTTCTTACCTGCTATTATCAAGGTTCGTCGGCATCAGAATGGTATACGATCGGCCTCCCCGTTTCTATGTTTGCATCAAGTTCTTGGGTTTGATATTGAGAGATCGTGAAGAGAGGTTTTGATTCCCTGAAACCTCATTGACCTCTCACTCGTCGCACACAATATTTTCGGATCGTTTCAGCGATGAAAGATGCCATTGGATTGATCTATTTCACCATTATTTCATCAAGCTTTGCTTACATCCTTCGAGGGACGGTTTGTTCTATCGAAAGGGCTACAAGATTGTTCTTTATTCTGAGCTTAACTGTTTTGTGTTTGGCTTTACTTTGAACTTCTTTGACAGCGCACTCAAGCCATTGAATTGAAAGTTAGAGCTTGCTAGGGCTAGGAATTACTCATTATGAGAAATAGATTAGACGACTGGAATTGGGTAGATACCAGGGTGCGGTCTTGTAAGACCGCTGAATCGGATTTGTGATTCAAGTGAACTCTTGCCATAGTGACGGAATAAAGGAAGAAAGGAATATACCGGGGTGAAATCATGTTTAGTACATCCCTTAAGAATACGCATCGCATGTTTTATTCTCAGGTATGTATCAAAAATAGTGCAGGTCATCAACAGGGCTAAATCATTTAGTCACAAGTTATATCAATGATCAACTGCAAATGTGAAATTGAATACTTGATATGCAATAATATCATCGTAAACCATAATCAACCAAACATCTAACCCAATACCTGTTCCAAGGATATGTAGTTATCGGCTATCTTCGAATACTTCCTGTCCAACCTCGGCCGTGGCCGTGGCACATTAGACGAAGCAGGCGGCGGGTGTGCCTCCGCAGGACAAGGATAAGCATAGGACTGCCCATCATAATAAGAACTATAGCTTTGGGCCGCCGCCGGCGACTGAGGAGGAGGAGGGTAAGCTTGATAACTAGGAGGAGCTTGGTCCCAGGGCTGCTCCCAAGAATAACTCCGATCCTGAAACGACGACGATCTTCGATTGAAGCTTCCCCTGCCACCGCCGGATTCAGTTGAGCTCTTTCCTCCCATCAAACCAAAACCCTGTTCAATTTTCTTCAAATTTATGGATTACAAGAACGCCCAGATGTGAAGAAAGGATTTTGGAGTGGGATTTGGGATTATTTAGGGTTTGATTTGTTTCCAAAAGAGGGGAAATTTCCTCGGTAAGTTTGAGGAAAAGGAGATTTATAGTTTGACACCGAAATTTTCGCCCCGTTGTCTGAACTTGGTAAAAAGGGAAACGTGAGAAAAGAAGAAGAAATGTGGTAAAAATCTAAAACCCAAAAACAAGATACTTAGCGAGAAAGATAACAAGATAAGCACGAAAGGTAAATATTAAGCTTCAGCTTAATATTGAAGAAATGCGAAATTTGTAAATTTAAGGAGAAGAAAACGGTGAAGGGGTTGGGTCAACGTTGACTATTTTCAGAGCGTGACGGATCGATCCCAAACTTGACGAGTGGTAGCTTTTAAATGATTTTGATTGCTCAATTGTGCTTTGTGTCTCAATATGGGACGATGAAGAATATCTTTTCTTTTTCTTTTTTTTTATTTCTAATTTCCAGAAAGGAGAAGTACTTTATGAAGATAGAAAATTTTAAAAAGAATTTTTTTTTTTTTTAATGATTGAACGTTGTATTTTTAAAGACCAAATGCGCAGACTTCAGCCCGTGACCACGTCGCTCGGTTGACAGTTGATACGCAGTGTAAAAGGGTCGGATGTAAAACCAAGGAAATTTCTTGGAAAAAACTGAGAGGAAATTTCTTGGAATCTCTTGAGGGCCACCACCAGGAGAGAGACAGTAATTTATATATAATCTAGAATTGGCTTAAATGCACGCCGGTAACCCGCGATTTCGCTCATTCTATACTTCAAAGTTTATTTTTGCGTATTTGATATCGCAAAGTTTCAGCCACTTAGAACTTTGATGTCCAACATTTTATTTTTACCCATTTGATTATCCATTTTTCTATTAAAACTTAGACCACGCTTAACATGTTCTTTATTTGGAAATTATATCCACGTAGTCATTATAAATATCCTTGAACTAGTTGGACAATTTTGCTATGAACATCCTAAACAATGTGTTTGAGCACAGAGTTTGGTAATTAATACTCATTTTGGGGGGCATTTATAATGAGTACAGGTGAGTACAGGTGTATAAAAGTTCAAATTAGATCACATTTTAAACACATGATCTGAATTTAACAAACAGTTACATTAAAAGTAATCCTCAGATGAAAGATACCAAAGTTAATTTTTCTAACGCATATGGATAAGGATGTCCATTTGGGCTTTGGTCCGAACCTGGTCAGTACAAAAACTGGTTTGGGCCTAGGAAAAGCTCGGAATGTCGAGGTCAACCGAGTTTCAGGCCCAAGGTTTAGGTGGTGTGCCAGAGCCCAACCCGGGCCTGGCCCTGGGCAGAGGACTCGGATCCTGGTTCGGACCGGCCCAGGACGTCATTAAGTCCTACAGCTACTTCTCCTCCTACCGATGCCGAACCCAATCCGACAATGATCATACACCTATAGTTTGTAAAAGACCAAGATCAGAGTGTGGCATTCTTTGAAAATGTTGGGTCCTTTGGTTTTGATGATGATTTACAAACAATTTACATCTAATGATTGTTTGTCTAGTGTTTGTGTTTTGTATCTATTCTAGACAAACAATATGTTGGAGGATGGATGGAATCGAGCATTCACGATCATATCCAATGGAGGTTGGCGGAATAGTGGTTGAAGCATTGCAATTCAAGTTGAATATCCAAGTTTAACTTTCATTCGCAAGTGTACCAAGATAGAGCTTCGTTGAAGATCACAAGCTTGGGTAATTTAGTTTAGGTTTATACTTGTGTGTAGATACTTTAAGCTCATACTAATCACACACATGTATTTGTTGATTTTATCAAAATATAGGTTTTTTTGATAAAATATTATTTTATTAGTTTATAGACTTTAATATCAGTTTATATCAATTCATTAAGTCTATAAAATCATTTTACAAAAGTTTTAATATTGTGTTTATGTCAAATGATAAAAACATGTATGTTTAGTTTTCATGTTTTTGGAAATATTTGAAAAATGATGAGTTTTTACTATTGAGAAGTGCAATTCCAAAAATTCTTTTTGTAACATGTTCATTTACATGTTTACAATAATTTTCCAAAGTTTTATATTTTTTAGAATTTATTTGCGATTTTTAAAGGTACATCAAAAATCAGTTTTACTATTCAAATCAAGCTGATACAGTGTTATCAGTCGACTGAAGAAAACGCCTGGAATAACAAAAGTTTCTGTTTTGTTTTGGTCGACTGACCAGTCGACTGATGAGGTCATCAGTCGACTGATAACGTCCGTCAGTCGACTGATGAGCTGGAAAACGCCTCTAACTGTCAGCTCATCAGTCGACTGATGCTGTAACGGCTAGTTTTTTTAGCCTTTTACAGTTTTGGTTTTTTGGTCTTTTTGCCTTATTTTCTCTTGGCTTTGGGGTTCCTATAAATATCCCTGCATATCCTCAGTTTTATCAACTTAAGAGAATTGTTTAAAATAAGTTTAAGGGTGTTTAAGTTTTGTTTAAGTTTGTTTAAGAGTTTGTTTGTCAAGAAACTTTCACAAGAGCTTAGGGAGATCATCTATTGGTGTTTGAGCATTCAACTCTTCTCCTTCTCTGTCTTGTCATCTAGAGAAGTTTTCTAAACTCAATCTAGCTATTTTATATGTTTGATTTTTATTTCCATAAGCTAGAATCTATATTGAGTTTAGTTTGATTTTGTTTTAGTAAATCTCATTGTTACACACACTCACTTGAGCTTATAGTATTTCATATATAGTATAATTGGGGTTGTGAGAGATTATAACTTTGAGTTATGCTTAATTGAGTTCTCACCTTGCTTAAAGAACAATCATTTGTTAAGTGCCTAATTGTGAGGATTCACTTTGTAATACACTAGTACATCAAGAGGAGTGTGTGGTGAGAGACAGGATCGTCCCAAGAGGAACGGGGTAGGTGGTAATGTCTAGAGAGAGATTATAATTCCTAACACTTGAGGAAGATATGGGCTAGAGACCAACACTTGAGGTGGTAGTTAGTGTAGTTACATTATGAGTGATTGTGAACATTGATCGGTGAGCGTTGAAAACCGACATTGTGAGGTGTAAACGTTTTTCGGGTAAGCGTAGAAAACCCGGTGTGATAGTGGAGATCTCCTCGAGGTGAGGAGCTGAGACGTAGGTCGTGGGAACCGAACTCCGTGATCATATCCTTTGTTTGCGATTGCATTGGCGCACTTATTTTTATGTTCATATCTTATATCGCCTTTATATATTGCTTGCTATTTATATTACTCACTATCTAGTTTAGATTATATACTCTTGTATTACTTGTATATCCTTGCACATATATTTGTAATATATCATTCTTACTAGGATAATTTGTTAATAAGTTTTAATTTGGTATAAATCGGATTAGATTAGCATAAACCCTATTCACCCCCCCCCCCCCCTCTTTCCCCCCTCTAAGGTTCTTTCCTATTGGCATTAGGGTACTTTCAATTGGTATCAGAGCTTGGTGCTCTTTGATTTAAGATTTAATCACCTTGAGTTAAAGATCCTAGTTATCTTATTTGTGCTAATCTAGTTTTGATTGCATTTGTCTTGCTTGCGTATAATTATAATTATGGATATGAGATTAGGCTATGATATAAATATTGCTCCTAAATTCAATGCTTTCCCCTATGACCAATGATGTTCTAAATTTAATATATTTGTTAGATCTAAACATTTTGATTTATGAGAAGTTATTAAAGATGCTTATATTGTGCCCACTTTGGAGAAATCCAAGTGGAGTAAAAATGATAAAAGATTATTTATAATGAACAAGATTTTATTAGAATATTTGCTAAATACTTTTGATTCGTCTATATCTAACAAGTTTGTTCATTTTGATAGTGCTTACACCTTATGAAAATTTATTAAAGCATATCAAGGGGACTTGGAGGCGATCCGACAAGCTTTGGAGGTGATCCGACAAGCTTTGGAGGCTTCTTCTTCAAGTTCAAATTGAGCATCATACACACGACCACTAGGCGATAGCCCTAGTGAGGTTTGTGAGTTCGAATTTATTAATAATGTATCTAGTGATGAACTTGTGTGTGCTTCTAAAAAGTTATTGCATGTCTATAACAAATCACATCATATCTTTTTAGACTTAAAAAGCAAGCATGAAGATTTAAAATCCGATCATGAGAAGTTAGCTTCCGAATTTGATATCATTTCTCAAGAAAATGTTGCTCTTAAAAAAACAATGATATGATAAATTTAGAAAATAATAATTTATAATTGGATATTTTTAACTTGACTCATGACAAAAATAATGGCATGTTAGAAGTTGAGAACATAAAAAATAACACTGCTTTTTTTATAAATAACTATTTATGTTCTATTTTTAATAAAATGCATATGTGCCTAATAATAAAGATTAGAATCCTGTGAATAAACGCATTTCATCTTTAGATTCAATTTTGAGAATATGCATTGATAACCATAAAAAACTTATGGACAAGTGTGCTAAATCTAGTGCTACAAAATCACCTATACACTAAATCTAGTGCTACAAAATCACATATACACTATGCATACTTGTATAGCAAAGTTTACAAATGCTCAATTTGCGATCGTAAAGATCACATTGCTAAATTTTGCTATGATGCACACAAATCGTCTAAGACTAATGCTTCTTGTGCATCTCATAAGGCTTCTTTATCACACACACATGTACATGCACACACTCATAAAGTTCATCATAAGCATGCTCATGTGTTTAAATACGATTATTATGGTCGTCTTGGCCATTTGGCAAAGTTTTGTTTTGATTTGAAAAAGAATTCTAGTTTGCCAAATGTTTCTTGTAGATCACATATTTTTAAATGTGATGTTTACGGTAGGTTTAGACATCTTGCTAAATTTTATTTTGATGTGCAAAAAGCTCTTATTTTGAAAAATGTTCCAAAAAGACCACATTTGTTTAATGAGGTTTCCCATTTGCAAAGAAAATTTAAAAGATAATCTTTATTTGCAAATGATTTTCGTGCACACTCACTTGGTCAACACAAATCTTTTCACTCTTTTTATTGCACGAATTACAATCGAAAGGGTCATTTGAATGAATATTGTTTTAACCGTGTTAGTACACCACATGTGCCCAAATGGGGTCATAACCCAAGGGCTTTAAGCTTTAAAAGATAGGGGCCATGTCCCTAAATCTTTTGGTACCACAAGTACTTGGGTATCAAAACAAATTTGATTTTTAAACCAAGAATTTTAATGTTTTTCTTTTTCTTTTTCTTGGTTTTGAAAATTATGTTTTGAATTTTTTTTATGAAAACAATTTCTCTTTGATCAATTCTTATGTTTTCATGATTATTAGTTTTGATTTTGATGAGAG